TCGGCGGGAGCGCCGCCACACTTCCCAAGCGGCGCCCTGTAGCAGGGCGCCACCGGGCCGGCCCCGGAGATCCTTCTTGATCTTTGAAGCACATAATGTGATTGAACCTTTGTTTTATTAAATAATTTAAAGTTATTTAGTAAATGAATAAATTAACTGTATTGTGCTAATTTAAAAGTATATTATACTTAATTTTAAAGTAATGTGTTTTTCCTTAGGGTATCAATATTCATTTAGCTAAAAAAATGATTGAAGATCGGAGTAGAGATTACATGAATGCTAGGCGTGTAGCAAAGGTATGGAATTCTATCAGGCCATTTATAATGATTATTATGAATCTGTTTATAGCACAGCTTTCTCTGTCTGGTATTGCTCTTGATATTTTCAATTATTAGCAATCTCAGCTAGTCACAGTTAATTGCTGTGTCTGAGCAGATGATATATTTGAAATGAAATACCTGTTTGCAGAGGACACATTAGAATGAATTGGGCTTGGAAGAAATTATTTTCCAAAATATTGAAACAGAGGATGTAGAGATAAGGTTCCATCTAGAGTTGATGAAGTAGTACTTATCTTTTCCTCATATCTGCTCGTCTGAATACTGTAGTACTCTGTGGTCTAATAACATAGCTCTCAGGAACAGATTTTATATTGTGTGCATACCCTTCCATTCACTGACACTCTTAGAATATAGGAAAAATAGCCTATTAATACAAACTCTTGAAATTTTAAAAGAGAGATGAAGATGGCCATAATAATGCCACCATGTCTTCAGTAATGTTGATCTGTCAACTCCTGCTTTCTGGAGAGTGACTTCGTCAATTACCTGCAAAGGGGCCCATGTGTGTTCTGTTCACTGACACTCCTGGGAACCTGTTCTTGGGTGGGTAATACTCTACCTTTCTCTGTATTCTCAGTTTTTAGTTATATTTACAAAGTTGTATTTTGAAAAAATAGACATTTTGAACAAAGTATTTCAGACTGATCAACTCCATTTCATATATCTGAGTTGTTCCAGGCTCACCAAAAGATTCTAAATACTTGTTGTCTAGGAATATGAGACAGTAATGAAAGGTTTGGACCGCAATGCTCCCTCAGTGCCTCCTCAGAATACTCCTCAAGAAGCTCAGCAAGTAGATATGTGGAAGAAATATATACAGTGGGAAAAGAGCAACCCTCTTCGTACAGAGGATCAGACCCTTATAACAAAAAGAGGTAATTAGATTAACTCTCGTGGGACTCCAATCACATGTATGTTGGGCCATTTGATATTGTCTCATAGGTTACAGAGTCTCTGTTTTTTTTACCACTGATCTTTTTTTCTTTTATGTTCTTCAGATTCAATAATTTCTATAGATCTGTCTTCATGTTCACTGGCCCTTTGTTTTCTCGTGTCTGATGTTAAGCCCATTCAGTGAACTCTTCATTTCAGATGCTGTACTTTTCAGTTCTATAAATTTCCATTTTAGAAATTTTTCATTTTTTATAGTTCTTTTTTTATAGTTTCCATTTCTCTGTTGAGATTCCTTGTGTGTTCATTATGTCTTTTTTCTTTATATCCTTGAACTTATTTATAACAGCAGATATAAAGTCCTCATCTGCTAATTCCAACATCTGGGCCATCAGCCAACATGAAGTAGTTTTCCTTTGACTGCTTTTTCTCTTGACTGTGGGTCACATTTTCCTGTTTCATCACATGTCTAGACATTTAAATTTTTTCTTTTGGGGCTGGCCCGGTGGCACACTGGAGAGTGCGCCGCTTGGGAGCGCGGCGGCGCTTCCGCCGAGGGTTCGGATCCCATGTGGAGACCGGTTCCTGCTCACTGGCTGAGCATGGTGCGGGCGCAACACCGAGGGTTGCGATCCCATTGCCAGTCAGTAAAAAAGACAAAAAGGAAAAAAAAATTTTTTTTTTCTTTTGGATATTGTACAAATGTACCAATGGTACATTGTAAAGACTCTGGATTCTGTTATTTTCCTCTGAAGGATGTTGAGTTTTATTTTAGCAGAAAGCTAAATTACTGGCAGATTACTTAGACCTTGTGGAGGCTTGTTTTAGTTTTTCCCTTAATCTCAGAGTAAACCCCTTAGTCCTGGGACATAGTCTTTACTGCTAAAACATAATGAAAAGTCCAGGGTGTTTACCAGGTCATCAAACTAGATGGGACTCAAATTCCAAACTTGATCTCCCTGACAGTAGGCAGCCAATGAGATATCTACTCAACTCCGTTAGCCTTCTAGTTTTGCTTTCTGCTGGACTTTTTGTATTCTTTCCAGTGTATGTACATTTCAGGGATCAGCTAATGATTTTAGGACATTTATGCCCAGATTTTCAGTCTCTCACTTCCTCCTTTTGGGGATCCTCCCCCTAAATTTTCAGCTGCTCTCTTATCCCAGAACTCCATGTTACTTCAAGCCAGTAAGACTGCAGCATTTGACTTGAGTTCTAGCTATCCCAGAACACAAACATGTGTGTGCCCTTGAAGAAAAATGCCATATTAAATATGGACCTTACCCAGTGTGGTTCCCTTTTTTCAAGGGCTCACTCTCCTCTGATTTCTGCTTTTTGTTTCTTCAAAAAAATACACACACACACACACACACACACACACATTTTTTTTTTTTTTTTAGTTCATAGTTTTTATTTTCAGGTGGGTTAGTTTGATACAAACTAGTCTGCCATAGCTGGACTGGAATTTGGAACTTTATTGAATTCCTCAGTCTTGCCTTGCTGTCTTCTTACCTGTAGGCCTTTGCAAATATCTTGCAAAAATCTTACCTGTAGGCCCTTTGCCTACACCATTTTTGTTTCTACCCCTGTCCTCTCTCCACTCCACTTACTCTCTCACCTGACCAGCTTCTATCCCTTCTTCAGGTTTCGCTTTAGATGTCAGTTCCTTAGTGAAGCCTTTCTTGAATCCCTAAACTATGCTAAGTCTTGCTGCTGTAAGTTTCAAGAGAACACTATACTTTCCTTATCATAGTTCTTTTTATTTTGCCTTCTTAACGTCTATACTCGCGGTATACTGCAGACTTCTTTTTTTTTTTCTCCTTTTTGTCTTTTTTTCGTGTCCGGCAACGGATCGCAACCCTCAGTGTCATGCCCGTACCGGACCGGGACTGGCAACGGGATCGCAACCCTCAGTGTTGCACCCGCACCTCGCTCAGCCAGTGAGCGGGAACTGGTCTGTATGTGGGATCCGAACCCTCGGCGGGAGCGCCGCCATGCTCCCAAGCGGCCCCAGACTTCTTGAATATAGGAGGTCTTATTCACTTGTGTACTCATAGTGTCTCTCACATTCCTACTATGTAGTTGTTGATCAATAAATATTAATTTAATAAATGAATAATAGATGGGGCTTGGGTGGATGTTGGTGGCAGAAGTCAGTAAAGCTATTTATTTCTAACTATCATTCATTATTGGGGACCCAATCTTAGCCTAATAATTTAGTTATGATGCTTATATTAATAGTTTAACAAATAATATTTATTTTAATTGAATGGTGTTTGTGAATGTCTTCCTTTAGTTATGTTTGCTTATGAACAGTGCCTGCTTGTGCTGGGCCATCACCCTGATATTTGGTATGAAGCTGCCCAGTATCTTGAGCAGTCAAGTAAACTGCTTGCAGAGAAAGGGGTAAGTATTCTTTTTTTCTCCCCCTTTGGTCTTTTTGGTTTTGATGCAGAATTATTTGCTGAAAAATATAACACTGAGTTTTGGTAATAAAGTATAAATGTTGTATTTAAAACTTATGTTAATATGAATCTGAGCGGCACTCATATGATTAGAATGCCTTAGTCAGAATTAGGGCCGGCCCGTGGCTCACTCGGTAGAGTGTGGTGCTGATAACACCAAGGCCCCGGGTTCAGATCCCATATAGGGATGGCCGGTTCGCTCACTGGCTGAGCGTGGTGCTGACAACACCAAGTCAAGGGTTAAGATCCCCTAACCGGTCATCTTT